TCTAATAATCGTACTAACTGTCATTCTAGAAGACAAGTGCTTAGAAAGTTCTTTTTCTAAGTGGGAGCTATATGAAACTGTAAGAGCTAAAGACCATAAACTGAATGCATCATAGTTCGGAACTGGCAAGTTTTCAACTTTTGTTGAATCTGCTCAATAGTTGATCAAATAATATTAAAACATATAGAGACGCATTCATTTATGATTTTCAAGTATGGGCTTGACTAATCTTCCTCAGTATATATTATGAATATAAAGTGAGTTTTCAAAGGAGAAAACATACGTGAATGAAAATCTTTCCAAGATTTAAGCTAACATCTCAAGGTAAGAATCTTCTTTCTTATAAGTCAATCACACGTGTGATTTAATTATAAATCAAGATAACTCTTGTGTTACTATAAAGCTAGTGGGAACAAAGTATCGTTCCTAGTCATATATATAATTAACATTCTAATTCTTTTATTAAAGACCTATATAGATAGATCATGCCAAATTATAGGATGAAGTAAAATTGCATTGATTGTCAAGGATCTTAAAGAGCTTAAGATATAATCACTATAAGAAAAAGATCCTTTACCATGCGCAAACCACGACACTCATTGATTAATGTTACGCAAAAGAGAGTGACATTAAAAAAGAGTCATCTCTTCAAAAAAATTAAGGATTTAGGCCACGCATTATTGCGTGCCCTTAAATTAGTGTCTCATGTAAAAAAATAAAAAACACGGAGGGCACTTTATCTAAATTGTGCGTCCTCTGTGAATGTCGTTTTATATTTTTTGTAAGAAACGCGCGTCTCCTTAGAGGGAAAATGAAATCCTCAAATTTTTTAAACCTCGGCTTTCTTCTCCCTCGTCTCCACCCCGACCCTCACCCACGTCCACCGCCTCCAATCTTCGTTGCCTCCTCTAGCGTCAGATTGTGCATATTGTTCATCTTATAACAAAACCGTAAGGGATTTAGGGTTTTTTTGAAAAGGATGCTCTCTGCAAATTTTGCTACATCTGCTCAATTCCACTCACCTCTTACCTCCGGAGACCTCCGCTCAACTCTTCCCACTGGCGACCTCGAGCTCATCTCACCTCACCGAGACTGCGACGACTGATCAATTTTACAAGCTTTCGTTTAAGAGCCAACCATTTACGACTCCTCACACTCACAAGAATATGATTTAGGGCTCGTTACATTATACCTATATCAAACTTACAAGGAGATTAAGGGCTTTGCGACTTATCCATGTCACCATCTATGAACTAGTGAAGCCCTATATAGGTCCGATTCAAGCATCCTTTAAGGTATAGGTAGCCTTTCCTCCTCCACAAATCAACGTGCAAGTTGTCTTCGTTGTTCCTCCCATCAGGTAAGTTGATGGTCGCTCATTCTCGACCATTTGTATTCTCTCTCTCTTTCTCTCTCTCTCGATATTTCTTCTACATTCTCCCTTTTCTGTTGAATGATGTTCCTCTAGTGAGAAAACTTCAATTGATTCCGTAAATTAGAGTTCCACTGGAAGTCGATCTTATTTCCAAGAGATTGATGACAGGTTTCAAGAAAAAAGATGGGACGAAACAACCAACATCTGATGTTGAAAGTTTGTATTCATTTTTTGATGTTGCGTTAGAGAACAATCTGCTATCTCTAATATGCAATTGTATCATTTTACTCCCATGAAATAGACAACAGTTCTCTATTAAAAACTAGTATAACCTCTTAATTTCAAGTTCTGTTCTTCTTAACAGTCTCCCAACAGATATTACAAATGTTAGGATGGGAACATCAAGGAAAGATGTTGCAATGTTGTTCATTGAAGACGCCTTATAAAATCTTGATGCAAAACAAGCAATTGGATCCCAAAAATGCAATTATTTCTTTTTTTTCTTTTCTGCTTCAATCACAACCTCTTCTTATCAAATCTTGACCACTTTATTAGGGGCAGAACCAAATATTGAAATCACGCAAGAATGTCCGATCACATGATCATAGTTCCTTTAATCATTTTTTAAACATTGGAGTTGTATTTATTGATATAATAATTTTTATGATTGGTTTGGTGTGAATTGTGATGAGCAGCTGAAACGGTTATATACAGAATTTTCTACTACATGAATAGAGCAGGTGATTCTTGTCTTATCCTCAGAGAGCTCTAACGTGGAAATTTAGTTGCTGCAATGAAGCATGCAGATGAAGAAGAGTACATTAACAAAGTTTTAAGGTAATCATTGTAATATCATCATCATCATCATCATCATCATCATCTTTCTTTACTAGATTAATGTCATGATTGATTTTTTGGTTACAAATATTTCTCTTATGAGCACTTCTATGTAATTTATTGCAAATTCTGGGAGCTGGACATAAATCATGACTTCTTGATAGATAATGTAAGTCCCGAATTCGCTTGACGTATCAATCAGATCCGCTTGATGGTGCGGAATCTCAATCAATTGGATGATGCTATATCAAAAATAGAGAAGAAGAAGAAGAATAATAATAATATGAATCCCAATGTATTGATGAATAGAATGATGCTCCTTTACATGAGATTCACACACACTAACACACACTTAAGCTCCTTTCTGTCTCTCTCTCTCTCTCTTCTCTCTCTCTTAGCCGTGAACTCTCCTCTTTTTCTAGCCGTACACTCCTCACCCACCTTACATGACTGAAAAATACATTTTGCTAGAAAACTAAAGTATAGACCAGTATTTTTGACCCAACAATCTCCCCCTTGGTTTATAGCTTTCTTTTCTAATTGACCCAACAAGCTCCCCCTTAAAAGTAGCTGGCTTTTCTTGTCAATCTTCATTTGGAGCTTGGCTTCAGCGTTTATCTTCGATTTCTTTACAACTTCAAGATGATCATGATGAATCTTCAATAAATGACTTCATCTTGAGCACTTGGGCTTTTCTTCAAAATTTGGCTTTGAACGCACGTTGGGTGAGGAGGCTTCTTGTAGAGATTCTGGAAAGATAGCGCTTTCAGCTTGAGAATCTTCAGAGAGAATATCAGAGAGGTCTAATCTTTTGGATCACTTCAATAGGTACATGAATAGCAACAAATTCATTGAGGAGGCTTCAATGCAATCTGTCACATAATCTTGAAGAGCAGCTTCAGCTTGCTTATGGGGTTGAAAGATATGAAAGTTGAAAGAAGTGTCTTCATTTCTTGTTCCTTCGAATGAGAATTCTTTGATGATCACGGATGAAGCCTTGGCTCATAAAATCTCGATACAGTCTCCATGAGTCTCATCTACATCTGAATTCACTTTTCAAGACAAAACAAAACTAAAAGAAAACTTAGCACACAATATTTTTGGATTTTTATATTTTCTGAAAAATAAAACATAAACAAAAATATTTTTGGATTTTTGATTTTTCTGAACAAGAAATAAAACAGAAATAACAACATATATATATATATATATATATATATATATATATATATATATTATTTTTTTGATTTTTGTTTGATTTTGGAATTTTTTTAATTCTCCCCCTAAATTTGTGCATAGAGGAAAACTATGAACAAATTTAACAAAAATAAAAATATTTGGGATCAAAGTTGTGAGACAGTCTTAACTTTGTTTATCAGTACCTTCACCTTCATGAATAGATCTGGTCAATTGCCGGTATTGTTGTCCACTTAAACACGAAGGATATCGACAAAATTTTCAAATATACCATTTAGCTGACGACGACCACAGGTAT